TTATTTTTAGATATTAGTGAAAAATAAATTATTATTTTTAGAGATTAGTGAAAAATAAAGAAAGTGAAAGATTTATCTTCCTATTAGAACAAATTATTTTTATCTAAAATAATGATAACGAACAGAAGCACAGAAATTCGATATTTGAAATCGTTGTGGCGTATTACACAAGACTGATGTGGCACAATAACATCATCTAAATAATAAACTTTGATATCGCCGAGACAACATGCATGCTGCATACTTTAAACGATAAACAAAGGATCGCTTATCAATGAACTAAAACACGGTAGATATCTCGAGTTCTTTTTGTCTGATTCTAGTAAAATTTTAACATTACAATGTAAGTTTATTCTATTAGATTAAATAAATTTCTCCCAAAAATTATACAATCTTTTCTCGAATGAAAAAAAGAAAACTCAATAGGAAAATAAAAAATGATAGGAATAAAGTAGACGAATAAAAACACATGTATAGTCTAAATTTATTAAGCTTAAAAACATATAAATATGCCTACATAGAACAAACCAACTTTTCAAAAAAAAGATATCATAAGCTAAATTAATATTTAGAAATAAAATGCCTAAAGATTCTCAAAACAAAAATTTTAGCTCTTTCATGCCATATTTCATTCGAAACGGAAGTTTCAATTCGATAGATCTTGATAAAATTGACGTGCCATATCCACTGGATGAAAATCTTGTCAGCGTGTTAAAAAACAATTTGAATGACCCATCAAAGAAGACGCCAAATAGTTTTATATTGTACCGAAAGGCATTTAAGGAGATTTCAATATATCATGGATTTCGTCTTAGTGCAAGCGAAATATCTCGACAGGCATCGAAAAACTGGAAGGCCCTTGCCGATCCGGTTAAGCAAGAATATAAAAAAATTGCTGAAGAGTTCCGCGAAAACACCGAAAAGCATGTGTTTGTGCCTTCTTTTAAGAATTCGAAGAAGAAATGGCGTATTATCAAGCCTTCCGATATGCAACGAAAAATAAATAAAAAGAAAAAGGCATCCCTGGACAATACATCAGAACTTTACACAGCAAATTTATTGCAAGACCCACCTATGTTGCCAATTAACGCTCAAGAAAACTCTATATTTTCATATTCAGATTTAAGTTATACTGATCAATTTGAAGAACTTTTTACATATACATATAATTTACCGGAAACTATGCTACATGTATTGAATCAAAATCCAATGTATCCGGAACTTCCTATGATACATTTTTATGAACATTTTACTGATAATACAGAAGTCGAGTTTCAAAGCATTTCAACTAATTTTCAAGAAACAGAGTACTTTATGAATCATATAGTTCTCTAAAAAAGAGCTGCTATTGTAAAAGAACATTGTTTATATAGAAATTAAAAAGCTTATTAAACATAATTAAGCATATAATAAGATTTAATTACAATAGCCTTAATGTACACAATGTACATGTGTATCGGTATACATGTAATACAGTTGCTATATTTATTATTGAAATAAACTCGTAGTTTTCTTTTTTTATTATTTTAAGATATTATTTCGATTAATTTATCCATATGAATGTAACAAAGTCTTTTTTGTGAAACAGATGAATCATCTTTAATAAGTTAATATATATTCGGACATCTGAGCATGCCCGTGACAAAGATAATTAATATTCTTTATAGAAGTTTTATGTTTATTCTTTACTGTCACTTATAAATGCGATTTTATGTCGATATTCACAGGAACAATTTAAGTATAATGAACAATATCTTATATATCATGAAAAGATAGAAGTTTGAGGTTTTTCTCTATGTACAGTATAGCATCCACAGTTTGTACTATAAATAAAATTCATTAGAAAAATTACAATATTGATGTATTTTTATAAATTTCTCGATTTTTTATCTCTTGGCGTTTATATTAAAAAAAGAGCTTGCAAATTTGCAGAGATGTGACATCAAAAAATTCATTGGGACTTTTAATTTATTAAGATTATAATGCGGCAAGATAATATATGCATTTGTAATTCCTACACTTTAGAAGAGTGTTTTATTATTGTTATTAAAAATGTTTCTATCATGAAAGTATCTCTGTGATTACTTTTAACATCTATTATATAATTAAAAGGAACGCTTAATATTAAATCACTTTAGCAAAATATAGTGAATTTGTCTTTATATACAATTCATTCTTTCTTCTCTCATTAACATCAACAATCATATCCACACATTAATTAGTAATATTAACGAAAGTTCCCAAATCTTTTGCACGCCAGCTCAAAAAACCCGGGATTCAAAATCCAGTACAATAAGGTTTTACATAACTAATGGTTGCACATGTATGCAATATCAACGTAAATAATGTAGATTCACAATTTAGTTATGCATCCATATGTATTTGTATAATTATTGATTACATTTAAATGGTTTAATGCCAAGATAATGTACGTATACGTAATGAAACATGTACATGTACTGTACATGTGATCTGCTGTAATTGTCATAAATCGATAGTTTGTTAGATTTTTTGACTGAATATCAGAATTATTACTATTCGCATTCTCTAAAGGATGCATCAAATCAATAACTGATAAGATTGTCATAAAAGATTTTGAATCGAATTAAACGCACTAAGCACGTAAGTTTATTTGACAACGAACTTTTCTTTCTTTTACAATTCTAAGTGCGCCATTTTTATTTACCACTTAGAGTTACATATGCTTTGCGAATGTTGCGGTAATTTGTTCATGCTCTTTAATTGTCAATTCGAAGATCATTATGTTAATGATATTTTCGATGTTTCAATCTGCTATCTAGTTTATTAAAAATTGTTGGGAGAACATCGCATTGTGGAACAATTAGGGTGGATCCACGCGCCTTTTGTAAAAAAAATTAATACCAATTCACACTTTGTATGTAGTGATCCGCACTTCTTGTAGAAACGTAGGGTCCGTGGAATAGATAGTTAATCAAAAGATCGAGATGTATATAAAAAGGCGATGCTTGCAAGCCCAAAAGACAAGTATTGTGTGATTTGAAGAAAAATAAATAAAACACGATTGTTTAACTCTTATCAAACATTGTTTTGGCTTTTATTTCTTCAACAAAATCGACAGCTTTAATCTTTTTGTGCTCAACAAAACGAAGGCTTTACTACTTTGGCCATACAAAGTTAAGGATTCATGATTAATTCAATGCCTTGAGAAAATTCATAATTATTGTACCATTATTATTTTATTTTGAGACATTGTGCCATTACTATTATTGTTATTTTTGGGTAAACACTTTTTTTAAGGAAATCGGAATAAACACTATTAAATTTGAACAGAACGTTCAGTCTCTCGAACTATTATTTTGATTAGAAATATTAATTTATTTGAAGTAGCAGCTGTTTGCGTTAAATAAAGATAAATCTTATTACGTATTATACCTTTAATTCCTGTTCCTTTAACTTTGCCACCGTGATTGCTCAATCTCCGTGTAGGTAGACCTTTTAGACCTTAGTGAAACCCATTTCGCGTAAATCATTCAGTCTACGATTGAAATTCTCTAGTCCAACTAACTTCAGAATTACACGTAACAACATTATAAAAAATATTAAGAAGGAATCTAGATTTTTTTTATTTTTAATTTGGTAGGGAGAACTTGGTAATTTTTTGTTGACTTCGTCTCTTTTATCCTCTTCATTTTTCATTTCATTGCTTTTTTTAGAATGTCTTTTAGATAAATTAATCCATAAGCCAAAGCAGCAACCGTCACTGTGCCTACAACATAAACCCCACCCCGAGGAATCCCTGGGTCCATTATTTTTTTACGAGGTAGTAGAGATCAATGCTTGTGTAAATTAATTTTTCAAAAATTTCACCAAGAGTCGTTTCTAATCCATTGATACAACCTTCCAATCTCTCCACATGAGCTTCCAATTTATCAGACGCTTCTTTGGTATAGGCTAGCTCGTCTTTTGTATTTTCCTCTAGATCATCAATCTGTACTAATTGTTTCTCGTCGCTTGCTTCTTTTTTGATTTTTTGCTATAGTTTATTTAATTCTTCGCCTTGAATGGAGTAGTAAATGTATCTAATTATGAAAATGCGTCCGGATAGTATATTAACAGATGTGCACGCATTTGCACGACTGCTCTTTTTTCTAGAGCTGTTTCTTCCAGTGCTTTTCTAAAAATATATTAAAATCAATTCTGGATTATTTCATAATAAACTTCTAAATTGTATAAATTATCCCATTAATCCAAAAGATTTTGCATCACGGTAACCAGAATATGCTGCCTAGCATCGCGATAAAATCAACTGCCAATTGTCGATCTGATCCCAGCGTCCAGTATACCATTCGATTGATTTATCCCAATTGTAGTAATAATTATCTGAGCTATCCGTCCAATCCAAATCTTGCGTTATGTTGAAATCAGGGTATGCTGTTCGATTGTCGGGATCTCTTGTCGTGAAGTAAGAGCAATAGCCTAAAATAAATAATTTTGGTATATCATGAAAGGACGTTATAGAACAATAAAACATTTACATTGAAATGGCAAAGCCCGCAATAATAAACAACTGTGAAAGGAGGAATCCAAATATATTTATAGTAAGGTTAATGATAATACTTTCCGACCACTACATTCACAATGAGTTAACATATATGTATATTAATGGACTTTATTCGGATAGCAAAAATTCAGTATATGGTAAAAAGCGCATTTGGAAGAACAAAATAACGTTAAATTTCATCAAATATTATCTAACATGTTAAGGAACGATCATTAAAGCAAATACTAAAACAACCTATAACATTATTGGCAGCGTAACTTCAGATACATATGGTTAGACAAATAACTTAATGAAACAAACATCTCGCTCTATTCTGTAATAGTGGATGATGATACTGAGAAAGGCACCGAAGAATTAAGCGGCTAATCGGACTGGTGACCTATTGTGCTGAAAAATGTGTCAGATTACGTGATCTATTTATGTTGAGAAATATGTCGAATGTATGCAGTATAAGGAATCATAAATACAGCCGCTGGATCTCGCTGAGAATTTTAGCCCAGAAATCGTTTCCTTTAGTAACAGAGGGAGCGTTCCTACAAAATAACTGTAAAAAAAGTAAATGTCATCATTACCAATATGGTTAAAACCTCCCGGAGTCGAGACTAGGAAGCTTCTTCTCATGCATCCTATTCACCAACTCCATATGAGATAGACAGTTAGAAGGACGTTCAAAGGAGATTACTCGACCCATAACCTCACAGTGGCCACGATGAG